ACATCTGAAAGACACAAAATAAGGCTGATTCAGAGCAAGGATACCTCCAAGAAGTATTTAATTCTGTGAGCTTATACACTATGAATTACTTTTTACCCAAAACAATGTAATTTTGAGACCACTATATACAACTAGATTGAATAATAAGACAAACATGCTTAGGTTTGACTCAAATCAACAACCACCGAGTTGCTACCGAAGATGTCTCAACAACTCAAATCACCAATATGCCAGTCGGCTATTAATCAATTGGAGTCCAAAGTTGTAACATGGACATTGATTAATGAATGCCGACCATCAAACGTGATCTTGCTAATTGCTTCATCAACTCACCTGTGCCACAAAAGGTCCCTGTGTATCCCATTGGACACACACACTGGAAACTGTTAACTAGATCCAGACAGGTTGCTCCATTTAAACAAGGAAGAGTATCACACTCGTTGATATCTACACAAAAAAGGTAAAAATTCAGTCTTAAAGAACAGTGCCAAGTCCTTTAACAAATTGTCACTGATCTGCAACTTCTGGTAATCCAGGATTTTTATGCAGTGTGTTGCACAATTTCATTTGCCATATGGCTTCAAGCAGACCTTACCAGTTTCACAGTCTTTGCCGGTGTACCCTGGAACACAGTCACAGCGGTAGTCAGCCACTAGGTCCACGCAGGTAGCTCCATTCCTACAAGGATTGCTGACACACTCCATGATCACTAGAAAAGAGGACGAATTAGCGGCATATTGAAGCCTATTCAACAATTTACAAGACCGACAAAGAGTTGTTTTTAAAGAAAAGTAAATATTACAGATACTGTCATGTGCTACAACAACTTTTTGAAATTCTAAACAACTTTTTAAAATTCTAAACAGGCCAATTTAAAACAAGTTTTTCTACTGAACATGCTTCAGTGAGGGCATAGAAATCCTCAGAAATTTCTTTTCCAATGTCTACGACAAATAAACACAGTCTTTGGTATCCCATAACTAACTTCATAAAGCCAAAAAAATCTCCTGATGCCGGAAATTGGACCTGTGTCCCCGATGAATTTTTCCAACGGCACTGAACCAAACACTCCCAGCTATTGGATCATTTGTTTACTGACAGAGATGACAATACGACCTCAGGAATAAGCAGGCTAGCTTCAATTTGACGTGAAAAAAGCAGCTCTCAAGAGTGACTCCCAACATTTGAAAATGATCAAACCAAATCATGATGTGCCCGTTTTCCAGAAATTTGACATGAAAAAAGCAGCTCTCAAGAAGAACTTTCAACATTCAGAAATGACAGAAACGTAGCCTTGCTTTGCTCCACTTCAGTTACATCAGACCAAATCATGATGTGCCCATTGTCCAGAAATGGACAACAGCTTTAAGAAACAACCAAACTCAACTTTGTTTTAAAAAATTGTTTGAACTTACACTCTTGGCAGAAGATTCCTTGGTAGCCTGGAGCACAGTCACATCTGTAGCCATTGGTCAGATCAACACAAGTGGCTCCATTCTCACAGGCATGAGACACACAGCTGTCGATGTCTGGTGAGAAAATTTACACTCCAGTAACAGCAACAGAAGTATTGAATTTGTAATCATTTTGTGTCAGAGTTTGTGGATGAACAATCCTTTATTTGGTGTAAGTGTAAATACCTGTTTGACAACTCTCTCCTGTGAATCCAGCAGCACACTGACATTGATATCCATTCACCATCTCAAGACAAGTTGCTCCATTCATACAAGGGAAGCTGCCACATTCTATCACATCTGAAATTGAGAAAAAGTACCAATACACATGCAGAACTCTAAAAATAATAAAAATATCTCACCGGAAAAAAATAAAACAGAGGGTTTTGACTTAAACTCCCCTGAATTTGATGTAAGAAGTTGGTGTGAATTTGAACTTGGTGCTTGTTTCAACTCACCTGTGCCACACAAGGTCCCTGTATATCCCATTGGACACACACACTGGAAACTGTTGACTAGATCCAGACAGGTTGCGCCATTTAAACAAGGAAGAGTAGCACACTCATCGATATCTGCCAAAGAAAAATATTTTTAGAAATTCAAGTGTGGTGTACAACCCCTAAAACTGGTCCAAAAATGGTCGAGTGTCTGGTTCCTGCTTCCACAATTATTCAGGGTTACAATAACTACAGAGAAATCAGAAACAGTCTAGAACAAGAAACGACACACATCAACCTGTTCAGTGCATTTGCTGGCCTCTGGTGGAGGCCAATTCCGTACTGGTTGACGAAACCGTCACACTAAAAACCCACGACATATTTTTGTAAAGAACCCAACACTGGTTAACGATAACTTTTAGAAAAATGCTGCAAAGTTGAACTAACCTATTTCGCAGTCTCTCCCAGAATAACCAGGAGCACAATCGCAGCGGTAGCCAGCCACTAGGTCCACACAGGTACCTCCATTCCTACAAGGAATGCTAGTACACTCCAAGATCACTGGAAAACAGAAATGGCAGAAAACTTTGAAAGACTAAACACAAATGTGACAGAGCAAGAGTGAGGCACTTTTTAAGTAAAGTACAAAATAAAACCAAATGAGAGTTGTATTCATTCGAATTCGTGTAAGAAACTTACACTCTCGACAGAAGATTCCTTCATAGCCTGGAGCACAGTCACATCTGTAGCCATTGGTCAGATCAACACAAGTGGCTCCATTCTCACAGGCATGAGACACACAACTATCGATGTCTAGTGAGAAAATTAACA